TATTAGGCAAGGAGTCTTAGGTGAAATCCAGAAAATATCTGACTTATCACAAAGTATTTGCCATGATCTAGATCCATGAGATGTGACTGCCATGATGGCTGCAGGGATGGTATTTACATGCTAAAATGGCAAACCCATCATGCTAAACTATGCAAAAATGGTACGGTCCACACAAAAGCCAGCAGGGACAGCTTTAGATCTTAACAGTAGCAATCTTTAAAAGATGTACAGAATCTCCAGTCTGCTAACCCACATGTTACTTGCTCAAGCAGCAAAGAAAACAGAGTATATTATTCTGGAAAGAGACTGCTAAACTAAAGTGAAATTCTTACTTGAAATCACATATGCATTAGGCTAAAAAAGCAAAACTTTCAAGACACAAGACCTCTGAGTTTGTTGCCTATGCCCAGAGAAATGTGGCTAAATACTCTAAAAATCAGTGAGGTGTTCCTTTACCTTGGAGGTAAATGGATTGGATCTAGAGTTAAATAATGGCTTACAAAATAATTTTCCTGAACTTCTTGTCCAATCAAATTTCTCTAGACCCATAATCTTTTCAAGAGGGGACAAGGGTGTGTCTGTGTGTGTGACTGTGTGTGTATATGCTGTGAGTAGGGGGCAGCCTCAATAAATTCATGCGGTGGCATTTCTACCTGCATCCTGCTCCTGTTGACCAGCTGGCTCAGAAGTCAAAGTAGCTGCAAGGTTTTGAATGTGGATAAAAGTTTGGTGTATTTCTTCCAGTAAACCCAGCAGGCAGGTAATTCCTGTGCAATCCTGAGAATTTACGTTGACCAGCTGGCTCAGAAGTCAAAGTAGCCGCAAGGCTTTGAACGTGGATAAAAATTTGATGTATTTCTTACAATGAACCCAGCAGGCAGGTAATTCATGTGCAATCCTGAGAATTTACATATGGGATCACCAGAGGAGTCACCACCACACCTACCTGCCTCTGAGGCACACAAGTTGAAGGGAAAAGACATGACAGTAGAAGAAAAACCTCAGGTCGAACGTGCCAAAAATTACCTTGACCTCTGAAGACAAGCGATGACAGTAGAAGAAAAACCTCAGGTCGAATATGCCAAAAATTACCTTGACCTCTGAAGAGAAGCAGCTGTCCATCTGTCTCCTGAAGAGGAGAGAACTGTCAATCAGTTCAGAGTCACTGAGCAGGGGACAATGGCACAGGCACTAACATAAACCCAAATCTTGCTTATCCGCTTCTCTTCTGGTCTCCTGAAGAGGAGAGAACTGTCAATCATTTCAGAGTCACTGAGCAGGGGACAACGGCACAGGCACAGCCCAAATCTTGCTTATCCACTTCTCTTCTCCAGCAGCACCTTGTCTTGCTCTGCAAGGCTCTCCCACTGGTAGAAAGCAACAAAATGAGATGACGTAATACAGTTGGTGGAATTTGAAAATTGTCAATTGATTTCTCCCACTGGTAGAAAGCAACAAAATGAGGTGACCTAATAGAAGTTGGTGGAATTTGAAAATTGTCTATTAAGGTGATGCTTAGTCCATGCGGTGACACTTTTCCTTCAAGTCTTCAACAAGCCGTTATGATTTGTATGTCATGCCTAAGGAAATTAGATGGTGAATTCCTAGGTAAGAATGTGAGGAAGCTGTTGATCTCATGGAGTTTGCAACCCCTTGTGTTAGTCTCGAGTGCACTCCAACTTCAGGGTTTCATTATCCTTAAACTATAAAATCTGTGAACTGCAAGACAGTGTGATTTACTTACCAGTACATGAATTAAGAAACTGATATAATTTCCTACCTATAGATCTTCCCTAGACATAGATTATTACATTGTAGATATCGGTGGAGAGAAATTGCTATGGAAATGATTCAGGGACTTCAGAGGGCAAGATGTAATTTTATTTTTTTGAATAGAAAATTGCTCACATCTAATCCATTTAGACACAGTCAATACATTCCAGCACATCACATTATATCCAACAATGACAGCACTGAGGACTAAAAAATGAACAAATCTATTATAAGTTAGTGAGTCAATTTACAGAGAAAACTGAGCAGCAAGAAGACTTGTAATCAAACCACTGTTTAAATACATTTCTAACATGAACCAACCATATTACATTGACCTGTGAACAGTGCACATAGCTTATCTTTTTTTTTTTTCCCCTCCTTCCCTCTAACGATAGATGAAGACCTGCTTTAAATGACTTACGAGTTTATTATTTTTCTGAATCACTTGCACAGTTCATTTTTCGATCGAATCTTGTGAGGTGCTTAACATTAGGCAGGGTAGCAGCTGCAGGACGGGTTTTTCCACCCAAGAGTGGACACGCACAGGATCTGCAGTCTGGGTGGAGCATGTGTTATAACCACATAGCATCCAGAAAAGTATCTTTTTAAAAAATAATATTTTTGAGGTCCATAAAATGATGATGGCCCTCAGCTTCTCTTGACTCTAATGCTCTCAAGAACTCAATCTTTGGAGCTAAAAGGAAAGGAGCCTTTTGCATTTGGTTTTGTAGCTGAAGAGGTATCTGCTGTAAACTGAAATCTCAGGGTTTATATACGATTCAGAGCGACCTGAAGCTAACCGATTGCAGTGTGTGCGCCTGCCCTGGGAGAGGAGAGCCATCTCTTCCTCAGGATTAGGCGCATCATGTTTCTCTGAGGCTGGCCTTCCTCTTCTTTGTACGGCACCAACACTAAGGTGAATAGACTTTTTAGATTGTAAAAATGAGGTGAAAAAAAAAAAACAATCTTTGACTGTTAAAACTGGAGATTTCTGTGCTGAATTCCTCTCCTGTCCAAAGCACTAAGAAATTTGCTTTACAACTTTTAAAAAATACCTTGAAAGCAATATGACTCTTCATTTTCTGCAGAAAACTGTGACAGATGTTCTAGACAGTCTTGTTCTATGGGTTTACATGAGGCTTCTGGGAACAGTGATAAAATCCAGAAATTTTCTCCACAAAACTGGAAATGCCAGCAGATCTCAACAGAGAAAATGGAAAAACATTATTGCTGCCCTGCCTGCTCCTACTTTGTGTCAATCTTAAGTAATAGAATTAGTTTAAAAATCCATTGCTGCAATCCATCTTAATAAAAATGTAATCTGAAGATCAAGTATGCTTTGTCTATGAGTGACAGAAGAAAAAATGTATCAGAGGGTAATTTTGGAACACATTCGAGGATTCTGCTGTCTTTCCACTGCAATGAAAGACAAATTATATTGTTAAAGCCGTTAAAGCCCTGCATGCTATGTTTTAAGGGTATCCCTTCAAGTTATGGTAACTGAGAACGCTGTTTAAAAATTTTAATTAATATTTTATTAGCAATTATTTACCAAATCGATAAAGCTATCTACTATGCGCAGCTTTGCTATATATAGCTGTTAGAAACACACATTTATCAACCAAAGTCAGAGACAACATCCAAACTGTAAAATGTAACCAGACACTCTTATCCTCTTCAAACAGTCTAATAAATAAATATAAATACATAAATATTGCAGTAGATACAGTATACTCCTCGCACCAATAGAGGTATTTATCTGTAGTAAAATCTTGCTTTTATCTTTAGAAAGGGTATTTTAAATTTCTTACAATATAGCAAAAAGTTAAGATCATTCATAAATTACTGTGACAGGATCCAGTGTGTCTGTTACCCTACAAGTGCTTACCAAGAGGGTTTTTTTTAGTTTAAAGCTTTTGTAACAGAAATACTCCCAGCTTTGGCTGTACCATAGGCAACTGCTGCAAATTAGCACCATTCATGAAGTAATGAGAACATCAAATCTTCTCAGAGCATGAGGTAAAATTATATTCAGAAAGAAACAGTCTTTCAGCTTCTCCTTGTTTTTCAGTTTGAAAAAGTAGTGCATCACACATACAGTTGGGAATACTACCAATCTTAAATTGCAGAATTATCTCAGATTCAAGAAAGTACTTAAATTACACCAAATACCTAGGAGAATTTCTGCACATCTGCTTTGCTAGTTATCTACAAATGCATATACAAAAATATAGGAGATAGTTCCTTTAAGCAAAAAATGTGCATATATATTCTCGAGCAGCGAGATAAATGTAGTTTAAATATACCCACAATATTTTCTATCAATTGTTGACATTACAAAGTCAACATTTTTTGCAGCCCTTTTGAGGATTTATTCTCAATAAGATTTTCAACTGCTACACCACTCATCCCATCCTGTGATACTGTTTGTGATGTATTTTATCACGCAATTGTAAAGCAGTTAGTCTGGATTACTGTTTTTAAATTATCATGTAGCATATTTTAGAGAAGACCTTAATCTGTGACATACAAAAGCTTTTTTTGAGCATGTAACAGTCTTAAGGGTAGTCACCCCTTTGATAATCCCTTACTATTTTACAAAATGTAGGGATTTAATATTGCTATAACTTCTTGTTCAAAAATACACAGTGCACTAAAACTTACAAATACCTGGAAAATTAATTTCTGACATTGCATTTACAATAGTTTCGATGAGTGCTTATATGTAGTTATTAGTCAAACGACCCTTCCCCTGCCAGAAATAAAAATTAACCTTATTTTTATGAGATGCTTGCTTTCTGACCTTTAAATAGTTCAACATGGGTTGGCTGTGCCAAAATATTAACAAAACCACATGCAGATTCAGACAAACAGATGGAAGCAATGCCATCTCAAAAATACTGAATGATGTCACCATGGTTCTGAGGAACTCTATTCTCAGCATTAAAATAAAGTTCCAAGAAAACATCAGAGCTCTCATTTCCCTTTCACAGACTCCGATGCCCATCAGACAGGTAAATTCAGTCCTAGTCTGGATTTTGGTGATCCTTTAAACTGATAGTGAAATGACTCACTCCAGTATGAGCAAAAGAACCACCTAAGAGCTTTTGACAACAAAATGACATGTTTCCCAAATAAACTAAATTTGAATTACTTCTTTTTTTCAGAAGACTGTATCTCCATGATTACAAATATTGGTGAAATCATGTTCATTTGCATGTGGCTGTTTAAATCCTGCTCAGTTTATAGCCTCTGGATAATATAATGCTTTCAAAGTGCTGGTCTTCTGCTTTTTCTTTCAATCTCTGCTCCTCTAAGGTGGCCACGAGTTTGTCCCTTTCTTCAACCACTTTCATCATCTCAGTAAAAATTTCGTCCTCCTCATTCAGATCCATCTCATCTTTAAGGCTGTCTAAAAGATCACAAAACAAGAGGTTAAAATCCAGATCACTCTTTTGTTATGCTTTGCATTTTAACTGTTGGTGTGCATGTTGAATTAATATCATAGTCAACAACAAATTAAGTCAATAGCAGTTAATATTTTTCATGTTACAGTTCAGGGAAAATTTCTCCTGCATTTAGGCCATTTAAGGTTGACCATTAAGGCTCCTGATGTCTAGAGCAGATCTTTTAGCAAAACTTAGACTGGAAGGGGTAGGAAGAGCACTACTTGTTTATAAAAACATTTAAGCTGGAGTTTAAATTTAGTTATACAAGGTAAAAAGCCCAACCATGAAATGTAGTATCTGTAAGAAAATGGGAAGTGCTTTTCAGAAAAAGTATTGAAAACTGCAGTTACTTGCAATCCACGTGCTTAGAACCCAACTGGATATTTTGGGGTATTCAGTGCTATGTAACCCCCCCTCCTTCCTACATTCCTCTTTGCCATTCTCTCTTTTTTAACATAAAAGCAGATAACCTCTTTTGTGTTTAGGTGGTTGAAGAAACTACTTTCCATTGCTGCCCATCATGGCACCTTAGCTGGATGTTGCTGCCTGCACAGCACAATGAGTGGAATTACATGTGCAAGTGCTTCCGATGCAGTTCAGTGGAAAACCAGACAGGTTAGCTTAGCTGTCTGCACTGCAAGTCGGGTGAGAGTCACAAGTTGTATTCAGCTGGCTGAGCTGCACTCACAGAAGAGCCTCAGCTGCTCTGGTCCATTTTGCAGCAAGCAGGGGCTCACATGGACATGGTCTGTGCCTGCAGGCTGGAGCATACTTCCACTGGGACTTACCATCAATGGCCATTTTCTCTCTCAGCTTTTGTTCCAACCTGCTTTGGTGGTCCTCCAGTTCTAGCTCTTGGGCTCTAGGTACAATAAAAAGTGTGTTAAAGAAAAAGCTTTTTTCAATAAAGACATATATGTCAATATTATTTCAACTGAGAGATTCTGTGTTCTGTTTATCCTGTATTTTCTCCTCGTGGGCAGTCAAGATTAAAGCTTTGCCTGTGCCCACATTGCCACAGCAACACCAGAAGTACCACAGCCAGCTTTGGTGTTACGTATCAGATTCAGCTCCCTCATGCATGGCAGCACTTCAGGCTTTAACCAGCTGTGCTTCGGTGGTGGCACCCCAATGTGATTCTGGACAGGACTGGGTGCTCTCGCACACGAAGGGCCCTGCCAGCCCCTCTGCACAGGAACGGGTCCCAAGGCAAGGGCGTGTGAGCACATCCAGACAACAACATTCTGTGTCCTGCAGTGATAACAGCAGCCTGCTTTTGCTTTTTTAGCTCTGCTTTGGAAACAGTGCGAGCAGGAAGTGTTGCTAGCACAATGCCCAGTGAAAATTGAAGGGGAAAGAGAAGCGCTGGCCCCTGGCAGCATCAGCACGGCTAGGGAGCAATTGGGGTGCAGCCGGAGCTCACGGCTGGGCTGCAGGGCCACACACAGCACAGGAGGTGACTGAGCGATATGGAAATGATAAATGGCAATGAGCAGCCTGCACTGGTGTGAAATCCAGTGGTGAGTAATGACAGCGGCAGCTCTCATCACCTTCCCACATCACCCAGAAATAGTGGAGAAAATAGCTGAGAGTCACCTCTGCCTGTCTGTTGAGTGCATTTCAAGGAGGTGAGGGAGCTACAGCCCATATTGTTTCCATCAGCCACAAACAGTGGCATCTGAGACACTTATTTGCTTGGTATATCTGCTTGTTTCATTGCTAGATCTTTTCTTCTATGTCCAATAAAACCTGAGATGAACTTGTCAGAATATTTTTCTTCCACAGGAGAAAGTGCCCCAGTGTTCATTAGACCCACATTATGTAAAGGCAAAGCATCCGTATGCTATAGTGGTCTAGAGTATCATATACAATTGAAATAATTGAAGCACTGTGCGAGGGAAGGACAAGGAGGACTCAACTGAAAACCTGTTTTCAAAACAGATGGTAACTACTCTGCATACATTTATTCCATGACACACTCAAACTGCAGCATGCAGCAAGATGTTCAGGTGCAATGTGAGTATACTTTTCCCCTTCCCATCTTTAGTACTAATGCTTGTCCTTACTTACATAATCAGGAGCTCAGACTCATAACGCATTAATTTATTCTTCTCCAGGACCAGCTCAAACCATTCATGTAGCATCTGAGTTTCATCCTTTGTGCCTGAATCTGTTTAAAATAGGAGAGTTATGTATGTGTTACCAGCTTTCCTTCCAATGCTCTTACTATTTAAGTTCACTTTAAATAGTCCTCATTTGTAAGCCTAGATGAGTCCAAATGTAGATTTTTTTTTTCCCCGTATGTAACTTACATGAGCAATGTCTGGATATAACATTCTTTTTTACATTTGTTTGAAAGTTGTAGTTTATTGCAGTGAAAGATGCATTAGGTTTAAAAACACTTTTGTTTGGGAAGTTAAGTTTTTTCTTTCAAATCATCATATAGACTTCCTTTTTTTAATGGGCACTTTTTCTTTCTCTTAGTTCTGCCTTTGCTAACATAGTGTCTCTGTTGATACTGGACTCCAGCAGCTGAGCTATATGTATAAATGGATATCCTGTTAACACAGTCAGACTTCAGGACATACATGCTGGCAAGTATCAACTTAGTTCCTGCTTCCAGTGGCCATCACATGCACAATCAAATCCTCCACCAATTTCCATTAACTTGCCAATTGTCCTCTAAATCTGCATCTGCTTTGAATGACGGGAAAGGCTCTGGGACAGGACAAATCTATTCTTACTGAGCAGTTCTGTAACACTTTGGGCCAGGGTATCCCTGGTAGGCACTATACAGACATGTAACCTGAGAGAGTCTCTCTCCCAGAGGGCTCACAGCTTGACTCTGCCTTGCTGAAGAGGAGGATGGATTTCTCCTTCACCACGTGAGGGCCTTTACTGCTCCTAAAAATCCCATCTGTACAAAAATCTTTGTCAATGAAGAACCCCTGGGTGTTTTCTGAAGATACCATGAAATGGGAGGATAAAGCAGAAGGAGAGGGCAGAGCAATTTTGGTCCGATTTCTGCCCAACTCCATTAAAACTTGGTAGTAATGGATGTGTTCCTGTGGGATCTTGCAGGTCAGCAAGCAGTGATAAAAACAAATGTCTTCTCAGAGTGACTGCTGGAGCAGTTCTCAGTGGGATGTGCCAACAGTGACTTCTCACAGATCCAATGCAGGGATGCAGCATTAGAATTCAGAGCCTTAGGTCTTCATATGCCACTATCAGAAGTTATCATCAAAATCTAATCTTACTGTCAGTAAAAACATTGTGATTGCAAGTCTGCATATATCCTGCACACATTTGGAGGGTTACTACTCCTTTTCTGCTGTTTTCTTGATTAGACAAAAATATTTTTTTTTTAACGTTTCCTCTTTACACTTTAAAATCTCTGTGTCTCTTATAAAAGTCTGTGTATCGTAGGTTGATTGAGGTAAGCAAAGAGTAATGCACTTTGCAAAAATGCACTGAGGATTTTGCTAAAATGAGTGGCAAACTGAAAAAAAAATAGTCCTTGTTTTTCCTCCTTCTCCATCCCACAGAATGCCCCTCAAGTGTCCCCAGGGGCATTTTTTCCCTGAGCTTTTCAAATGTTTGTTAATACTAATGTTAATAGTTATTTAAGTCTGATGGAGTGCTTTGTGCTTTCCAAGGGCAGAACAAGCCAATGAAGTCCTTTGCGTAACACTATATGAGGGATCTTTCTAAAGATCAGAGGGAAAGCAATTTACGAGATTGTGAGCCATGCTGGCTTGTTCTTACAGCATTGCTAAAGCAAAACTTTCCTCCTGGTTTACTCAAGTCTCCTTTAACCTGGATCCCATTTGAAAGTCAGATATTCTTCTAACTACATTGTGGCTATTTCTATATTCATCAGTTTTGAGGGAATGACAGGCTGCAGAGGGCTATTTTCTGAACACTGCTCTCCAGTCTCAACCTTCTGTTCTCCAGAGTGATGCTATGCTCTCCCTCCATATAGCAGTCACACAGTAAAGGGGGCTCAGCCAGTTTGCGCCTTTTTAGGAACAGCTAAGCCTCATATTCCTTATTCCTACAGCATTTCAACAGATCTCTTTTGACTCTGTTGAAAGTTCCGAGAAGCCTTTGATACAGTCCTTATGAAATAAAAAACTAGGTTCAACGTGCAGATATTTGTTCACCTTCCAAAACATGGAGAGATTTCTTAACATTCTCTGAACACAGATTTTCTTCTTTACCATCATTCTTCATGATTTGTCTAGTCAACTGATCAGTTATGCTAATTTCACTGGAAAACGTGTTTCGAGATTTTTATTTCTGCATTTTCTGTAGGCAGAAGATCTCCATAAGCCTCCACAGATGTCAGTGGAAAACAAAGAGACGGTGCATCAGTGATTTATTATTTGGTATTTGGAACCAGAATAAAGGGAATAAGGGGCATGAAAAATTATTCATAGGACTGATATTATTTTTTTTTTTAATGCGTGAATTGCTGTCATTACAATTAGAAGATCATCAAAGCCTCATTTTGCTCATCAGTCTTCATGGCAGTTGTTTCACACCCACGCATGTTCTCTTCTAATTCAGTTGAGGAGCTAATGAATAACTCCTCCTAACAAAGGGGCCATTCATCCCAGGCTTACAGAATTATTAGAGGAGAGTTGCGTAAATGTCACTGAAGACTAGTGTTTGCAGGCCTGTCTCTAAATTTGGTTATTCACAACCTTTGCAGCTCAATATTATTGCTGAACTGTGGTGGTTTGCTAATTACCTTAATAATACCTATTAAATTACTTGAATTGCATAAGCACAGACCTGCTTAAATACAACTTAACCTAATAAACACTGGTCATTCATTAAACAATAATGCCCATTATTTTTAAGAAGGTTGAACAGAATGTTAAACTCACCGATTCCTGCATCATTACACATATGTCATTACAAGCAACAAAGCACTCACATTTTGTTTGGGAAACTTACAGCTTCATGCTTTTGCACCAGAAGAGTTATTGAGACACAGTAACATCCTACGTTTCAGCATCTGCCCTATTTGTAACTGGCCACCTACACGCAAACAATCAACAGGGAGAAAAAATACTACTTTCACCTTAATGAGGGCAATCCAATTACTAAGATGGGAAGAGAATGAGAAGCATCAATCTGTTGGCAGACAGCCTTCTTTAGGAAATGCGATTGTCAAAGCAGCAAAAAAAAAAAAAAAAAGAGGTGGCTGTAGGCCATTTATCCTGGTATGTGCTGTCTATTCTGAGAGCTAAAAGCCTCTTGTCCCTCTATATTTTTGACATTTCCAAAAAACATTCACCCTTATACAGATCAGCAGCAAAGAAAAAAGCTAACACTCAAATCCTCAATGTCTTTTTAGCAGGCTGTCCCATAGGCCGTAAGATGGGTGCCCTTTGATAAACAGTTATGTTTTCATTTAAGAAAAAAACCCAATGTTAGTGTTCTAAATAACATTTGAAATAGGCTGGCACTATCAATTATAGGAAATTAATAAATATAAAAAGGTTGGGCAAATGCTCTCTTGCTGAACTGATTAGTTCAGTGTTAGAGTAGGGGTGATAACTGCTAAGAAATACGGCATTAAAAAAGACAGCGTGTTGAGATGGTGCTGGGTTGCCTCGCTAAGGCAACAACAAGATCAGGTGCCAAAACATATCCAGGTTTTCAGTGTTGTACAACTGCCTGTCATGAAAGCAGGAGGTTCAGCTTTCTGAAGCAGAGGTAAATAAAGACACACTTGCAATGGGGCTGGGGGCTGGCGGCTGCCCAGAGTCCTTCCGGCACAGAACAGCAGCCCCCTCTGAAGCCCCTCACACGCATGGTTCATGCTCCCATCCCGATTCTGAGCCTGGAGGAGCCCCCAGATGTCCCGTCCCTCTGCAGGAGGTCTCCCCAGCTTCACCCCATGTGCTGGGCCAGGGGAGGATGCCGCAGTCCTGGGCGCCTGGGACTGTTGGTTCAGGTGAAGGAAAACCGCGCCTCTGACTGAGGCCAGGATGAGACCCCCGTTGTCTTCCACCTGTTGGGGGAAAGCTGTGCGGTTGGGGTCTGTGTGCCTGCACGCGGCTGTTGCTATAGCATGGCCGCTGGCTCTAATTGTATTAATGGCATCTCACACCCGGGGAGAAGTCGTTAAGGACTCTGTTACTAGGCACAGGCTGCTGCTGGCCTGGAAACTGAGACAGAGCTCTTGGAAACCTCACTGGTTTGCTCCAGATGATGAAACTAAGCTCAGGATGGGAAGTTAAAAAATGGGGGAGAATGTAGATTTAGGTTCAGTCACAAGGCAAAGAATTCCAAACCTGTGATAACCAACTGAAAATTTAAAGCATTCACTGTAAAGATGCTTAAGCTAACAGAGTTTGAGGAGAAGGGTAAACAATTATTTTTGTTCTTCCAGTTATTGTATCATTTGAGATTTTACACTGAACTCTATTTCTATGACAATCATGAAGGCCCCTCTGCTTTGAAAAAGGTGAAAAAAACCCACCGCCAAACCAACACACGCACACACCGCTTCATTTACCTGATTCTCCTCTTAGTTCTCTCTCCAGTTTGACACCAAAAATCTCCAAAGCTCTTTGTCTTTCCTCCAGTTCTTCTAGTTGGCGCTGGACTGCCTGCAAAATTGCAATGATATAAAAGCTACAGACAACAGCTTAAAAATGCAGAGACAAAAGATGGTCTCAGTGGTTAGAGAAACAGCTTGAAAAGGTCTCAGAGGAGTCACGGGATCTGCAAACTCATTGAGCATATTAGGCACCTGAGCAATTTAATAATTCCACTAGGTATCTAGCCACATTTTTATGTGGGAGAGTGTCATAGGTACTAAAAGAACCTGTTTTTCCTGAACTTTAGCTCTCCCATTGTAAAACAGAGATAATAATTTTTCTGTGTCTTGCAAGCTGTGATAAGTCAATACCGTACACATTCCGAGGTACATATTCTGAGATCCTATGTGAATAAAGCTCGTATAAATATTGAAGGTTTACAGCTAGAAAGCTTTGCTAGCTATTTTGTTGTCCATGGGATTTTGTTGTTTGTTTTGCTTTTATATTTCACAAGCTTTTGACACAGGGATGAAAGGCTCCAATAGCTAAGCAGTGATAATTCAGCAGCACTCCAGGAAAGACTTCTACATTCACTGGTCCATCCCCTTTTAAATAAGATTTTCAGAGGTGCCATGGGGATAACAGGCATGAAACACTTTAAAAGGTTGGGCTGTCAAAGAGAGATGATCAGCAGTTCCCATTTCAGGCTGTGTTAGGGCATACCAAGCCAAGCCCTCAGGAACAGCTTAACAAACATGAAAGATGGCTCAAAAAGTCTGGACCTGATTATTTACACAAAGTGGTAAAACAAGAGAAGGCATATATCCATCTAATTTTACCTTGAGATAATTTACAATTCTCAGATAAAAACTATTACATAGTTGCTCTTACTTTGAATTAAATAAGATTATATTCTTCCCATGGGTTTTCTTCTGTCATGGATTTTATAGCAGTAGGTAGATATTAGCATTTTCTAAAATCAACTGTCTGGTTCAAACACAAAATTTCCTTTTCAGTTACACATTTTGCAAAAACAGTGATGCCTACAAAAATGGAGATTTCTGATTCACATCTGAAAAACAACTTACTAGTTTTGTTTTTTCATTTAATGTTGGTACAGAAATAGCAAGCGGAAGCTCCATCCAAAACTATCCACCTGTATAGTAATCCAACAGAAGATGATGGACAACTCTGCCTTCAAAAAGCCTGCTCTCCTCACTACTGTCTATTACCATTACAACCTGAATTAATGAGATCACATCTAGATCAGGCTTCTCTGCCCTATGCTACGATACAGACACACACGAAGGGTGCTAATGGCCACATAAGCCATTATGTTTTACAGATATATATACACACGTATATGCATACAGGTATGTGTGTGGTAAGTGAAATAAACCTGGAAATTTTGACACGTGAGAAAGCACAATCTGAGGTCAAGTCATGCAGAAGTACAGTCCCAAATCTTTGAACTGTAATTGGAAATAATAAAACACTAGCAGAGTCCAGAGCTTTCCCAGCATTTTCTGAAGAGCAGGGCCTGCGTAAAGTGAAGTGATTTGGTATCATTAAGAAAGAAAACGGTTCGCTTTCATGGTTACAGCAGGAAGATAACAAAACCCATCACTGTGTTTTCGTGCCCTCCTCTAGTACATATAGGGGTAACAGCTGAGTTTCTTAAATTACAAAATAGAGACAATCCCTTGGGGCCACATGGATTTGTCACATACAGAGGTACAAGGGCCCGCCACAGACATCTTCCTGCTCCTGTGTTCTGGGTGGGTTTCAACATGGCAGGCAGTGAGCTGCAGTGAGGAGCAAGGGGAGGTGCAGAGCCCGCACCGGGTACCCCCTGTCCTCGCGAGTCCCTCTCAGGAGACAAAGGGGACAGCTGCGAGCTACGTTTTCACCTGTGCTTTGTGAAGCCTCTTCAGCTCCTCTTGTTTAATCAATTGCTTTGTCTCCTTCTCCAGCTTCCTTCTCCTTCTGAGAGTCCTTTTTGCCTACAAGAGAGAAGAAAACAAAAAAAGGCAATCAAAGCATAAGTATGCCATTAAAGGTTTCCACAAGCCTTCCCCAGAATCACAGAGATGCTGAGGTTCAGAGAGACCTCTGGAGATTGTCAAACCCGCCTCCCCTGCTCACAGTGAGGTGGCTACTGCAGGGTGCTTCAGGCAACCCGACTGAAATTAAAATATTCACGTAGGAATATATCCATGCATTCACCTACACTGACTTTGAAACATTACAAGCTCTTATTGCAACCCTAAGCGAGCACGAACTATCTCTAGCAATAAAAAACAGTCTGAATCACCAAGTCGACTGTACACGGCATAGCACTGTGCATGGCTCCTGCGGACATCCCAGTAACCGGGGAGGATGCCAGGCACAGGCAGTGGGAAGCACCGGTTTAAGGAACTTCAACTCATTTCTACTGCTGCAGCTGCGAAGTTCTAAAATTCATTTTTAGGTCATTTGTAACATGGTAAGAGGGATGTATCCAAAAGAATCAGCCATCATAGGACGCTACCCGAAGCCCTGTGAGACCTTCCCCAGGGCCATTTCTCTGCTGCACTGCAGAGGTGTTTTGCTTTCCCTGGGGCACCCGTCACTGCCGCCGGGGAAGCGGAGCAGCACGTGCCGCAGGGCTGGCCGAGAGAATCACCTGCGCTTGCTCCATCTTGCTCATGACCCAAACTATCTAGAAGTGTTTCAAAGCTGTTGTTTTCCCCTTTTGGAGGAGAAAGAATATATGAGCACCATAGACAAGATCATGAAAAAAACTAACAAGCCAGGAAGCCGCTAAAATTTTTCCCACTGAGTTTTGCCAGAGAAAAATGGTGGTACTGGCAAAATAGCAGCCAGAGCTGGCATGAAAAGAGTTGCTAGGAGGCAGCCGAGAGAAGTAAGCTGAGCAGGGAACGTACATCAGAACTGAGTCACTGCTAACGCCCGTGTGCAGCAGCTGGCCAGTCACCCCGGCTCTGGCAGCTGCCCTGGCCTCTTGGGAGCTGCTCCTGTTCAGTTTTCTCCCACATCGCCCCTCTTTTCTCTGTTTCGTTTAAACTATTTAATTCACCATAACGGTATCTTACTATAGATTGTCTTTCCTGTAACAGGAAAGATGAATGATGAATTCTGACATCCCAGCGCATCCTGACACAGACGCCGGCAGGACGTGCTGCCGCACGCAGCTGCACTTCTACCTCGTGGCATTTTGGTTCCCCTGGAGCTGTGCGACTACGTTTCCATCCAAAGCATCCACTTAGCTTTCAGCTGGGCTGTTTTTTCAGTATACTGAACAGCCTCTTGCTTTGCTTTCCTTTGATTTCCCTCAAAGGCAACAAATCAAAAGGCCACCTCACACTATTAATGCCACTTGCGGATATTCCCTCCAGAGGAAAGCGGTAAACACATTTCTGATGAGCTATGCAGGCAATAAAAGCTCTGTTTCTTCAGATCAGAGCTGGGTATCAAGAGCTCAGTGGTGCTTTAACCCCACTGCTCCTGCCAGGCACAGGAACCACGTTAGGGCTCGGAGACCCCGGTGCGCGGCCGGCCCTTTTGGTGTGTGGGGTCTGGGTGTGACGCCATGGCTCGCACAGTCGTGCTGATTAGGATAAACACAGCGTTTTCCATGCAATCTGCCTGTAGGGCCTCTCAAATGAAGCTGTATTTCCTCAAGGGAAATCTGCATCTGTTTGGTTTAATTTTTTCAATAGTTTGCTTGTTGGGCTGCATATTAAGGCCACTTAAGAATGCAGCTTCAAAGTGGTTTTGGTGAAACATGTTTGTTTGTCAAATTAAGACCTCCTCTGTCAACACTGGTGTAACCTGGGGGAATTAAAGATCCAAGGAGGAAAAATAAATTTTGATTTTCATCTGTCTTAAGGAGTTTTAATGTATTTTTCTCTCCATGATACGTAACCTCCACTGATAAAGTGTTCCCATCCCCACTTGGAGAAATTGCAGTGTGTTTTAGATCGAAATCATATGATGAATCTTAAATACAGTCCAAGTGAAGAAATATCGTTCTGTTTCCAAGTCAAGGTTACCTTGTATGTTAATGAAGACTTGGATTCAAATTCATCATCGGAGGAAGAAGTAGAATACTCGATAGCTTGTTTTCTGACATGTAGGTGTTCACATCCTAAAATGCAGGAACAAAATAGTCAGTGAAGCAAAAAATTCTGTTCTTTAACTTATGCAGACACTTTGCACCTGCCCTGAGTTCTAATCAGCAGCATCTAGAGCAATTTGGAAATTTTGCTGACGGCATTAATTAAATTTTTGATCCCTGTTAAAAACTCTGTCTGGGTATATTTGATTATTTTTCAGGTATTACATACAAATAAATTAATTCCTTGAGCACCCTGCATGTTGCATGCTGTTCTGAATGCACTCAGCATTCATTAAAATATATATCTGAAGTTAGCCATATTACCCAAATGATTGTATAAGCCTCACTATACAGTGTAATTGAATGCAAAAAATCCGAGCCAGCTCTTAAACAAATTACCCTTATGTGGCTTGTAGCATCTGGCACCCATTTTTACTACATGACATCTGCTCAGTGTAAAATAGTTGGCGTCAGAATGTCTGGTCATATAAAAAAATCACAAATGTAATCAGAAGCAAATGGACTAAGAGAACAAGGCTTTATCACACAGCCTCATGCAACATAAATATTTCATTAATTATGTCTAAACAAACGTCACTTATTTTTCTGCTTTAGGAATATTATCACATCATTGAACTGTTGATTAAAATGCCATAATAAGTCAGGAAAATCCATATATCACAACAATGCACTCCATAAGGAAAACTCAAAGGCTGCCTTTGGAAGAAGCATGCTTTCAGAATTATAAATTAAATTACATTTAATTGCAGCAATTTTATCATGCCTGTTTTTCCAGCATCTTGTTTCAACTGGGTGTAAATATTTGAATTTCTTCTTAATTTGTCTAATTCATAGCTTCATTCTCTTTATTTCAGAAAATAAAACTGCTTTTGGAACATCTGTCGCTACGCTTCAACCTGCTACAGGGTTAATGATTAACAGCTGGGCAACATCTTGGAAATGTACATTATTTAAAGCTAACAGTGCCATTTTTCTTTGTATCAGAGGTAACAGTTGGCTTTCTATGTGCAAATTGTATTTAGATTAAAATCACCTCCCATTCTCCCAGCATAAATGTTTCTTCTTTGCCTTGTCCTGGATCCCAGTCCTGAAGAAGGACTTCTTTCTCAAGCCCAAATTTAAAATCAGGACCCATGGAACATGTTCATCCCAGTTGGTAAAGCAATGAAAGGAAATCCAAGGAATCTGAAGCAGAAATTCTGATTTTTGTCAGTGGTCTCAATTTTAGAAGCACCCAATCCTTGTGTCAATGAAGCTGCAGGCTCGGAGGGTCCAATGGAGCAGACCTCAATCCTCCTCCCCTCCTGCAGGAGAGGTCCCTGGGCAGCCGGCAGTGCAAGAGCCCTGGCAGAAATGCCAGAGGGTCTCCCGCCTCCTGGGCTATTCCCCCACTCCAGAATCACCCAGGCTGCCACCCCACCTCCTTGAGGCACCTGGAGGAGGTACACAGCTCCTGCTTGCTGTCCTGCTTCGGACTGTCCGGTGGCTCACAATAGCTGGGGTCACACTGGTGCCACCCACTGCCCCACGCTCTGTGGGGACGGGCACAAACCCAGCACTGCCCCATCTCTGCCCCACACACGGACAGTCAGCTGTAAAGCCCGGCCCAGTACGTGAGATGGAGAAAGGCATGGGGGTATCACAGCTGCTCTTCTTTTGAGGAGTGACCTCTCCTACCTTGCTTTTCATTAGGCAACCAAAAGCTTGCAGTAACTACCCTGCAGTCAGGCTGCTGGCGAGATCAAATTCCGTAATAAGCAAAAGCAGCAAACCTTACAGCTGGGCAGGGCTGGAAACACAAGCAATTACACGCTCCCTGTCTTCTCTCAGCTGTGGGAACGAGTGACTGCTGCCCCATGTCCTCCTCTTCGAGCAATATCAATAATTTAAAAAGCATTACGAGGTGTGGAGGAAAAGCAGCCTGCTGTAACACCAGGGCATAGGTTCCAAGGGCCATCTCATGAGCACGAGGAAGCTGATGTCTGTGTATGGGATAAATTAACATCCCCAGTGCTCCCAATGCCTACCTGCCGTGGAGAGCCAGGTATTGGCACCTTGCTCTGCAGAGCAAAGCCATTTGGATTGCTCCGAAACAGCTCAGCCTGGCAAGGGATGTGGTACCCACAGCCCTGCGAGACAACAGCCATCAGCAACATCCTTCATCACCTCCACCCAAGAAGGCTACAGGGTGAAGGACCATGTGAAACCACCCAGTGATGAGGCATCTGGTGAACCTGCTTGTGCGCATTAACAGATATGGTTTCCGTCATATTATTGCATATACATTTCACAGCGCGGGTGTTCCCCACTAATATCATGGGGATAATTGAAGCATAGGCTGCTCCAAGGAGGTGCCTGGAAACACACAGCAAGGAGTGCCAGAACTGCCATGAGAACGCAGGTTTTTGGCTCCCAGATGTGTGGTCCTGCCACATTTTGGGGATATAGAGACAGTGGGACAATGCATTTCTTCCAACATTAAAAGGGCAGCCACTCAGTGCTCTGCTCAACTATTTTTCTTGGGCTATTTCCTTGTCGGAGAGACCAGAAATATGCTCTAAAATGTACCACAGATGCAAATTTCAACTTTAGGACAACTATAACAAGTATAGTAAGAAATTACCTCACTGAATGAGCTTTATGCAGAGCTAGAGAAAAATACCACAAGCTTATTCTATTTTTGAAAAAAAAAAACCTAAACAAAAAACCCAAACCACCCAAACTCTTCTGTATTACAGCATCTATATGTTCTTCTGTAGATGACTGAGACATCTTTCCCATCTCCAGATGGGTGGGATAGGCAGAATTTAGCTGCCAGCTGTGAGGATTTGGACAAGTTCACACATAAAAATCTTCAACGTAGGGACATTTACACTGACCGGGTCACTTAAATCTGAAGCTTAGAACTGCAATAGTAAAGTTAGATAATAATAATTTGTCTGCTCCAAATATGTCAACCATTAAAGCTCAATAGCTACAGAAAAGATCCCAAAAATATATGGTTCTTTCCAAATATTAATGTTGGGCTTTTTCCTTCTGGCCATCTCATTCCTTCAAAATGGGAGTTATTTGTTCCTCATTTCTTAACTACTCTAGTGCTCCCTAACTTCCAAATTAACATGTTATACTCGAGCTTTTCCTCCCCATTTAACACAACTTTGGATCACTCAGAACGGTCAGCCATAGTTTCAGTTCTTAATTATAAAGGGCAAAGGACCAAATATTTCTGAAATCTTTATTACTCTATTCTTGGTTTCTACCTCACAGTAGCTACTAAGCGTTTGGTCAAGAGACCTTTCTGTCACACCTGATTTACAGCTGTGAAATCACAGGAAACTGAGTCTTAATTATTATTGTTATTAATTGTTATTGAATCTGATAGTGTCATAGAAGATCTTCAAAGTACAAAGTCGGAGGAAACCTCTGATTCTTGATATTGGGACCTGGTATCCTTGTGTGTGTTTATCATTAAATAAGAAAAATTGCATCCATAAAATTAGAATTCCTTCCTATGGCCAGTTCTTTACAGCTTGGTGATCCAAGGTGGGTCTCAAAGACCTTTTGCTTTGGCCGAAGCGCGCTGCCATCGAATGCTGTCAGTGGTAAAAGCCTCGCTGTATTCAGAGGGATCAACTGTATTGAGCTCCAGTGCTTCTGAAAACCCCTCCCTTAACATATAAATCTAAGGTACTGGTTTCCCTAGGAAACTTGAGGCCCTCTGAACAAATGGGGAGGTGTCACATGGAGAGATTAAGAAGGTGATACCTTCTCTCAGACATGGGAGCACTGCTGATTGCCCTGGAGATTTACAGGGAAAACCACCACTGCTGTCACTCTGCACGTCCCAGCTCACCTTCCTTCCCCCTGGGGTGTTTGTGTGTCACAGTACTGACCGTAGTCTAAATACACAAAGTCTTGGAGCAGGAACTGTTTTTATAACATAATGTTATATTAATCTGTTGGCTTCCTCTGTGAGTGTCCAAGATTGCTTATTTTTGTAAGGTCGTTGGAGTTAATCATGACCACTCTAAGTGCTGCAGTGATATACAGAAGAGAGAGGCAAAGCTACACATATCTCTTGGGGCACTGGTGTCCCAAACCAGATGGGAATTTCCATGGAGCAGGAGATAAAGAGCGGGCTTGGCTATTTGGCTTCACATCTCTTCTTCTCCACAGATTTTTCATGTGGTTTTAGGCATGTAATTTAATCTGGTAGCTCCTCAGTTCCCCTTCTGAAAGATGAAATCACTGAGATAACAGTGCCCTAGCTGCCAAGAACACTGCAAACACACAGACTATCAGTGGTACAAAGATGCAGTAACGGGAACCATGTATGAATCTGAAATATTTGCAGGCAATCCCTTTTCAGTCTAAAAGTGCATAAAAACAGCAAAGTGAGTTCATAACACGTCTAATTTTCTCATCAGCTTGAATTGGTTCTCCTGCTTAATGAAGTGAGCCATGTAAACAACACACAGTCACAAACTGCATTAGATCACCTAAGGGATGATTTTAAGGATGTTATCACACGATTCCTACTCTGTCGCAGGTCCCCACTCTGCTGAACAGACTTTGCAATGCCTATGTTCAATAATTATAATAAGTTAATAATTCCTCTTTTGGCTTGCACAGCAGAGGAATACAACAGATATTAAACCAGCATGTTTTTCCAAAATATTTAAAATATAGTATTATTCAAACCTAACAAGAACCTTTCCCATTTTAATAGGAACACAACATAATTATTGTTGTTATACATCTAGTTAGGAGCAAGTCATCTTGGCTTAGTTGGTGGGTGATGACTAGGTACAGGCTCAGAAAAAGCCTCCTGTTTCAGACCACAGCATGACAAGTGTGAACGCTGGCAACTCTCTGTGACTTCAGTGCAGTCTCTAGCAGCCTCTGGTTTGACTGAGATGCCTGGTTTTATGAGTTATTGGATAAAGGATGCTCCAAGAATCCAACCCAATAATACAGGAACGAGAGCAGGAGTTATTCTATCCATTTTAATGAGCTTCAGATTATGTCTCTTATATACTGCATATCTACCTCACAGTATGCAGTGCTTCTGAAGCAGAAAGGATGCAAAAAGATCTGGCAGATCACTGGGAACATTTTAGTGACTTCACATTTTACATACAGATTGTTATTTTAATGCTGCAGTAAAGCAGCAATTTGGGGGTTACAGTTTGGGTTGCAATTTAGTAAAGTAAGAAACAAACTGGTATGTCAATAAAATTCAATAGGTTAGTTAAATAACTGTGACTTTCTGCAATGGGCTAGTGGAAAGATGGATCATGGGGGAAGACAGGTGGGTGCAGCTCTCATACCTCATGTTTTATACCTGAAACTGTGCTGCACTTAATTATTTCCGAGCCCGTGCTCAGATTACTCAGATTGCTCTTTCTCTGACATCAATATTTCTTAGACTCACCTGCAATTTTAATACTACTCTTGTTCTTGCAAGCAAACATGAAAACTGATGCCTTTTAACCACTGCCCAAATAGACTCACAAATAGGTCAGAGTAGGTCAATAAGGTGCTATCTCCTCTGAAATAAAGCAAGGGGACATTAACAACACCACAGAACCCCCAAAAGCCCTGCCAGTTCTCTCACTGACAGCAGACAGCTGAAGAGACACGTGCTGAGAAAGCAGACACACAAAGCAAAGCTTCTTGCTATTGCAACCACATTGCTTCAGTCTCTGAGCTCCTCACGGCAAGGGTAGCAAGTGTACTCTACACTGCACTGGAGTTTCTGGTGCTTGTACTCCCCTTTCCACGACACACACTGTCACAGCAGCAGCACCCCGCTGTGCCTCACCGCTCCCTCCACCTCGGTGAGCACGTTTCCCTGTCCCAGACACAGCTGAACAGTGGTGAGCAGCAGACCAAAGTGAGATCCAGAACGCTGCACTCCGCTTGCAAATCCTCTCTGCTCCTTTAAACCAGAAGCAGCTCCTAAACCTTAACCAAAAAATATATTTATTAAGACTTCCTATGTAGAAAGTAACTATAAACATAACATAGAACAGATGTGTGCTCGCATGATCACACACAGGTCTTTGAAATGTTAAATGCCATTACTAGAAATAAATAATTCCATTCTGACCCTCACCTGTGGAAGGACAACGTAGCCTGTATTCTGGAGAACGGTCTTTCATGAAAGGCAGAGATGGCACGAAGGAATTAACTTCTCTGTCACAAACTTTACTTCTCAGTCTATCAAAGAGCAACCCAAGACTACCCTTCTGTGCAGAGTCATCCAGATTGTCCTTGGAGGTGTTCTTGCGCTCTGGAGATGAAAGCAGGAGGTACTTTTCCTTACAGATGAATATGTCATCCATGGGAGCCCCTGGAGGAGTCTCTTTAAAGGTAAACTTTTCTAGGAGTCCTGGGACGTCCTCCATCCTAGTGCAAGGTGATTTCAGAGGTGTACCGGTCACCTTGGAAGACCTGGTGTGAGGACTGTAGACTGGGAAGGATACCTCCTCACTGTGATCTCTTAGAGATCTCTTTTCGGAGCTGATGGACAAATGAGGTGGATTTGAAAGAGGGTTCCCATTTCCTAAATCCTCTCTTGCCCCCTCCCTCACTTTAAGCTCCCGTGGCTGAGTGTTATTTGCACTGTTATTGTTACTGTTCCTTTGGCTTAGGGAATAGCCAGGAGTACTGGGGAAGATGAAGAAAGTTTGTTCTGAAGAGGCTTTGACTTTGCTGTCTGAGTCCTGCTTTAGTCCTTCTGGAGACGAGGTTAGAGGCTCTAAAATGGACTTCTTGATTGCATTGGCTATGACCCTCAGGGGTGATTTTGGCTGACCAGCTGCATGCCCCCTGGCAACTGCAGCTGGACTCCTCAGAGCATCTTTTGCGTCAACTGACAAAGCTGTTGGAGCACCATCTGCAAATAAGAGAGGCACAGGACAAGCAGATAGGTTGAATACATCTTTTCTCCTGTCAGCATCCTTCTCCCCTGAAGTCCCCAGCGCTCCTTTCTTTCGATACCCCAGACAGGTTCCACCTAAGTCTGTCCCATTGGAATCATACGACAAGGGTCGCTCTTGAGTACAGAGCACCAGCATCTTTTTTGCCTCTAAGTCTTGATCAAGCTTTTCTTCTGAGTGCCTTGTATTTTTGTCACCTTTCTCTTTCAAATCCAGAGGTGACAGCACTTTTGTCTTCCTGTTAAAATCTTCTGGTTCAGAGATATGTTTCTGTTTTTTTTCCTTCCAGCCCTGTGCTGTGTATGCCCCAATGTCACCATCTGTATCTTCGGGCTCAGAAAAGTCAGAAGCCAGCATCCCATTCCTAGGAGGGGTCCGTGGAGAACCTCTGGTGCTGCTCTGAAAAGGACAATGGGGCACATAGAGACGGATGTCTTCAGACACCTCCCCGGCTTTTTCTTTTCTTTGAAATACTGGGCTGTAGGGTTTGAAATGTCCTCTTGTAGCTTCGGATGGTTTCTTGTAAGAAGCCAACTATGGAAAGAAGATTATTTGAGGGGTAGAAAAATACAGTTTAGTGTATCTTTTATTTCAGGTAATATTTAAATCAATTTCAATCTTAACATAATAAAGGTAATATTTTCTTTATATACACACGTACATATGTAGATAATAATACAATAGGAAGAAAAGCTTTTCTCCCTAAAGGGCTAATATTTCTCTAAGAGTGGAGATGTAATACTACTAGAAATTTTAATACTCTAAAAATCATGTTATTTATGCTAAGAATCTGTCATATCTTTAAGAATTGCCTTTAATATTTTCCTTAGAAAGAAACAGTCCTATCCAGAGGAAAATAAACAAAAACAGATCTGCTCTGTTCTCCCATGTGCATTCCAGTTGCATCACCTTAGGGTTTCCAGCAAGCACAAGAGACCATAATCTATTCTCTCCAACTGCTTTGACAATGTTGCATGGTTACATAGCGCAGGTAGGAATGAATGAAGTGACCCAGAAAAGACTATAAAATCCGAGATGATAGTTTTGAACAACTCAATTAGTTCTCTCTTATGATTATTTTTCCTTTGGTGAAAATTTAAATTCATTACTGAAGCCACCAAAATTTTCTGCTGGAGATTGTAGGACAAATGCCCACATTACCTAGCCAGCAGGCCAAAACTAGAGGCTTTTAACTTCTTAAAAGGGAGGCATTTTATCCTCAACCCAATGTAATAATGGATGATGAGAGCATTTAATTCCTGCTTCCACTTATGTGTTAGATTCCCAAATTCATACAGGTGAGGCCATTATCTGTCTGACTTCTTATTTCCCAGAAGCATCAGAAGTAAGGCAATAATGATCACTCCCTGTTTCACACATGTGTTTGATGACTAAAATTAGCATTGGCCAGTATCTCAGATTAAAAAAACAAAAGAAAACATGAGAAGCACCGATAAACAAATCAACACCCTCTTAATCTTTTCTCTTTAGAGTAAGAAAAAGGCCACAAACCACTGCTCATGGAGCAGGATCTGCATGGAGTCCCCTCTCCTCAGGCGCAGCATGGCCAGGCAGCACCGTGCAGCTCTGCTCCCCTGGGACGTCCCTTCCTGGCCCTATTGTCCTGGACCGGATTTCAACTACCACTGTGGACGTGGAAGACTTGATTTTTTTCTAACGCAGACCTGAGGTCAAGCAACTTTAATCATGTTTAACCCAAGGGTGAGGACAACAGGGCTAGGACATGGAGGACGTGGGTTGGTCCTCGCTCCAAGTCCGGGGGACGTGCTGCCCTTTGCTCAGGACAGTCGGTCACGACTCCTGCTGCAGCGCTGCACTTGGCGCAGGCCCACCCTTCCTCAGCCGTGATAAATAAATAAATTAATTAATGCCAAAAGTACAATGGAAATCCTAGGTCCTGAAGGAAGCTGAAGATGCTCCTGAGCTGTGGGAGGCATGGAGCCAAGGGCCTGCTGCAAATCAAGAAAAGAAGTCTTCTCCGCACTGGATGCAAGCGGTAAACATCAGACACGCACACACATGTCTAAGGGCTGTAGTGGCCTGAAATCACCTGGCCTCCCATGGCAGGTTGCCTGTGACCAACACTGCACAACCCCTTACCTCGGCTCCCAGATTTGCTCTCCAGGGCCAGTGCTGGCACGTGCCTTTCCCCTGGTGATGGAAGTGGCATTTAAGCCACCTGGACGTGATCCCCACTTTCCCCACCGCTGCCGGCACCTGGCCTTGCCCACCACGCCACACATGAAGCCCTGTCTCCATCCAGCACTGTGGGCACATGGGCAGAACCACAGCCAGCACGGGAGCACCGGGGACAGAGATTTGTGGGGTTCCTCTCCTTTGGGCAGAAACTGTGGCAGAAAGGAGATCCCAGTGGTGGTTCGGGGAAGGGCAGGGTTGTGGTGCCCATATGTTGGCTGATGCAACAGGTTAGCACCTAACTCTGAGTGCGACTGAGGTCAGAGTCCCACAGAAAGCACATGGCACTTTGCCACATGGTTTGGGAATGGCTATATCAGAGCACCAAAGTCTCTTCCCTGTGTATAGCACAGGCATAACTTCAACTTTAGTGGTCTTTAGCTGAAAGAGCAGAGAATGCTCCCACAGCCTGCCGAGAGCAGCCATGATCCAACAGTAGTAACACTTGTTTTGCTTTGCACAATTCTCCTTCGTACCTGTGTTTGGCAGTGATCCTCTCCCGGATCGCTTTGGCAGCTGGCCGAGCTGTCCTTACAGTGCAGCCCAGGTTTCTTGCTGGACAGTAAAGGGAAACCTGCCAAAGATAGAAATTTTATCATCATATTTGAATTGCTTTTGTCTTAAATACAGTTTGTCATTAAAGAATGAGAGTAGAGAGTTAAACAGTCATCTGGATACGGTTGTACCTGAAGAGCTGACCCACAGTAATGAAGTTTATGGCCCCGCTCACACATGTGTGCACGCTGTGCCAAACACATGTTGACATTTTCAGCAGTGGACCTGAACTGCTTCCACTTTTTGGCTGGAGATAGAGCAGGAGCTTTTGAGTTCCAGGAAACTTTCTGGAAAATCAGCCCTCTTAAGAGAGCTCCCAGGCCTTAAAAGCAGGGGCAGTCAAAACAACCAGTGACTTTTGAAGCTTGGGGTAGTTCTGAGAAATGAAGAAAATTGATGACTTCTGAGAGGGCTGTCCATTGGAGTGGGAAAGAGATGGGAAATGCATCCACCTGCAGGTGGAAAGGACAGGAAGAATCCTGCGGTCTCCCAAGCCAGGCCAACAGCAGCGCGCTGGGGGCTCACTGAGGCGATTAATTGCTAATGGCCTTGAACCAAAACCTGCACACACAGACTTAGACCTGCCGGAAAAAGCAACTAGAGGGGTAACTGGCACCTGAAGGGAGTCAGGAGAGTTCTCGAGTGTTTGTGCTGGTGGGAATTTCACATAATAAATAATCTTTGGACAGAAGAAAAGTATCCCTGAGCCAAGATGTTAAGCTTTAGCATGACAAGTGTATTTATAGCTGAATTATTAACTCGGAAACCCAATTATTAGTTCTGAAACCCACAAAGGTTCCCAAAGCAAACTTTGGTTCTTCTACATAGAGATTAAAAGTTGTGTGAGGACAAAAGCAACACTCCAGAGAGAGAAGACTATTCTTGCACGTGGACTTCAGAAAAGGCAAGCCAGGGAGAGCGGCCAACTTTTCCTTCCGCTCAGTGTCTCACCTGCTTGTTCCCAATCTTGATGCAATTTGTTACGTTCAGTCAAGAACTGAGGGAAACGATGTGCTGGAGTTCGTTAAGGAACTCCCCCAGGGACCAGCAACCGGGGGCTGACCTTTATATTCCATATAGTGAATTGAGACATGGGAAAACACGAGAATCCAGAACTAGGATAAAAAAACCCCACAGTTACCTGTGTAAGTGAGCCAGGGGGGTTTAGCCTGGTCCACTACAGCCCTTCACCCCCTGACACAGGCAAACGTCACGGCTCGGCACACCGAGGGGAAACGCAAACTTTGCTGCAGTGACAGCTGTAACACTGCTGAGGGCATAAACCCCGCTGCTGGGGGGTCTGCAGGGTGACGGCACGATCCTGTGGGGAGAACTACTTCCAGCTCTCATGGGCATGCATTAGTTTACAAGGACAGGGGCTGCACATGCAAGAACAGGGCTTTGGGCAAAGCCACAGCTTGCCGTCTTTCACAGAGATAATGGATTTATTCCCACCAAGATGCTGATCCCGTATATGCGGCTTCACATTCAAAACAGGATTTAAAAATAAAAGTTCCCTAGGGCACTATTCGTGAACTGCTTGGCCCAAAAGCTACCCCAAGTGACCAAGATAAATTAAGAGCATGGTGATCCCTGTGACCATGCAATGGGGATTAAAGATTTTGAAAGGTAATATCCTGCTCTGAGCCTTTCAGCCAGTATAACCATGACACTGATTTCCTTTCCTTGGCCGCATACCTCATGCTGTTTATGAAACATATGTGTTTTGGGAAATAAGTCTGAAAAGGAGAGATTTTTCTTTCATGTGACTGATGATCATAGGAGTTCTTGTAACCAAATATTAAGTGGATTAAATATAGAAACTAAGATTTACAGTGTTCCTCCAGGGAGTAAAAAATGCCTTCATTCCGTTCCCAGTATATGCTGCAAGTGCTTTACACCTCATTTTAACAGCATACTTGAGGTTCAGACAAATACGTGCAGCTTGTCGGTTCCCTCTTGAAGGCTTTTAGCTCCCTCTAGAGCCTTTCGGAGGCACATGAAGATTTTAATAAAATGATGGGGAAATTAATTGGTGAATGAATTAAGTCATGCACTTGCTGCAAACAAGCTGAGAATGAGCTGAAAATTAAGAGTGACCCCTGGTCTTCTCTTCTGCCTCTCTCACAGTCTTTCTCTCTCCCTCTCTCCCCCCCAAACCTGGAATAACCATCCTTTTCGTTTGATCTTTTAAAAACTGAGATCAATTCAGGCAAGATTTTAAATCCAAAAAAACAACCCCTGATGTACAAGCCCATCCCCAAACGCCGTACAGTGCTCAGAGACAGCCCCGAGGCTGACACAGATGCCATGAGACTTTGAGGGCACTCTTCTCTGCCTCCCCACCTGGGCAGGGGACAGCCTTCCCCCAGGTGGGATGTCCCATGCACTGCTCCAGAGAGGTCCCTTGGAGCACCGCGAGTCCCCACACGTCAGAGGTGCAGGAACGCAGCCCCATGGTGGCTGCTCTGCCTGTCCACCTGCCCCAGCTGCCTCTGGGGACAGCCTGTCACAGGGGGTGGTTTGCTAAAGTCGAGCATGGTGGGACCACCCTCTCAGGACCATGAAATAGCCCTGTGCATCCGCTACTGAGTTGTCTCACAGACGTGTGGCACCAGGGGCCTCCAAGGGACCATGGGGTCAGTAGTGACAGAGGTCATGCATACCCGCAGGCATCTGACTCAGAGGCAAGGCCAGTGCCAGCCCCATGCCAAGGAAGGAGAGATGCATCTTGTCTCCTTTTCTGAGATATAAAAATTCTTCCCACAGTGGATAGTTGCAAATAATCTTGAAGCTTGCTTGTTTGTTCAAACCAAGCAAGCAGAGATCCCTCTGTTTGAACACTGGTCCCATGATGGACACAGGGTCCTACTTGTTTCAGCAGCAGAGCCCTTAGCTTTTCTGAAAGCATCTAAGACCCTGAGCGGCAGCAGATATCCCCCTCTACTTGTTTCAGCAGCAGAGCCCTTAGCTTCTCTGAAGGCATCTGGGACCCTGAGCAGCAGCAGATATCCCCTCGTTGCAGAGAGCAGCTGAGGGCAGGGTTAAAAAGCAGCTGTCACCACCATTCCCCAAAACCTGCTGTTTCCACACCAAGAAACCATGGCACTTGGTCACACACACAAATCTCTGCTTTCCACTGCTGTACATTTATGTTTTATACTTCAGGCTGTCAACACTCCAGTATAACAGATACAACTGCATTTTCTAACCCAGTTTTGAGAGGGTCGGGGATGCTGGTAAGGGATGCTGGTAAGGGATGCTGGTGAGCTCATTCAGCCCCCATGACAACACCCTGGCAGGTACCTGCAAGTCCTAGTGGGGCCTGGGCTGGCACAGGGTGTGCCTGCAGAAGGGCTGTGCCAAGGCAGGTGGGTGACCCTGTTACTAGCAGCAGTGGTGTGACTAGGGATGGCTGGCTTGTCTTGGGACCACAGCCGCAGAGGAAGATTACCTAGACACAGCCCCAGCTGCGAGGAGTGACCCCACTGTGCTTTGGCAGTGGATCGAGCACAGATCTGATCGCTATTGAAATCACTGCGCTCCTGTGCCATTCCCATGGGCAAAGGCAGCTTGGCCCAAACCAAGTGAAACTGTTAAAGGACAAGAACTAATAAAGCTCACTTTCACCAGCTCACCTCTTGTGATGGCTGTTAGTAACCCAGAAATATCACTTGCTTTTTCCAACAACAACAACAAAAAAAGCAGCAATAGGACAAGGAAAAAAAATATTTGTTGCATTTTAGGTCTCTGTTTTCTCATCCAGTGACTCAAAAAATACAAAACTTTTAAAGGAAGGAAGGAGAAAAAGACATTTAAGAGACAGGAAAAGAGAAGATGCAATTGCTTCTCAGGCTTTACTCACTCGTTTGGAGCTTTCTTCTCCAGTTCTGATACTTATTTAACGCCGTGGAGTGGAAGCTGTTGGCTCTCTGCAGCGCTGGGCAGAAACAGAACAGACACACGGTCAGCTAGTGCAGGGAAAAGAGAGATGGGGAGGACAAAAGGAATAAAGCAGGCTGAGGGTGAGGGGGGTCTAAGTTTTCCAATCAGTCCCCCCGCAGCCTCGGCCCCTCTC